CCATTTGTTTATTTTTGTTTTTATTTCCATTTCTCTAGGAGGTGGGTCAAAAAGGATCTTGCTGTGATTTATGTCATAGAGTGTTCTGCCTATGTTTTTCTCTAAGAGTTTGATAGTGTCTGGCCTTACATTTAGGTCTTTAATCCATTTTGAGTTTATTTTTGTTTGTGGTGTTAGGGAGTGTTCTAATTTCATTCTTTTAAATGCAGCTGTCCAGTTTTCCCACCACCACTTACTGAAGAGGCTGTCTTTTCTCCACTGTATATTCTTGCCTCCTTTATCAAAGATAAGGTGGCCATATGTGCGTGGGTTTATCTCTGGGCTTTCTGTCCTGTTCCGTTGATCTATATTTCTGTTTTTGTGCCAGTACCATACTGTCTTGCTTACTATAGCTTTGTAGTATAGTCTGAAGTCAGAGAGCCTGATACCTCCAGCTCCATTTTTCTTTCTCAAGATTGCTTTGGCTATTCCGGGTCTTTTGTGTTTCCATAGAAATTGTGAAAGTTTTTGTTCTAGTTCTGTGAAAAATGCTATTGGTAGTTTGATAGGGATTGCATTGCATCTGTAGATAGCTTTGGGTAGTAGAGTCATTTTCACAATGTTGATTCTTCCAATCCAAGAACATGGTATATCGCTCCATCTGTTTGTATTGTCTTTAGTTTCTTTCATCAGTGTCTTATAATTTTCTATGTACAGGTCTTTTAGGCTCCTTAGGTCGGTTTATTCCTAGATATTTTATTCTTTTTGTTGCAGTGGTAAATGAGAGTGTTTTCTTAATTTCACTTTCAGATTTTTCATCATTAGTGTGCAGAAATGCAAGAGATTTCTGTGCATTAATTTTGTATCCTGCTACTTTACCAAATTCATTGACTAGCTCTAGTAGTTTTCTGGTGGCATCTTTAGGATTCTCTGTGTACAGTATCATGTCATCTGGAAACAGTGACAGCTTTACTTCTTCTTTTCCGATTCGGATTCCTTTTTTTTTTTTTTTTTTTTTTTTTTGCGGTACGTGGGCCTCTCACTGTTGTGGCCTCTCCCGTCCCGTTGCAGAGCACAGGCTCCGGACACACAGGCTTAGCAGCCATGGCTCATGGGCCTAGCCACTCTGCGGCATGTGGGATCTTCCCAGACTGGGGCATGAACCCGTGTCCCCTGCATCAGCAGGCAGACTCTCAACCACTGCGCCACCAGCGAAACCCTGGATTCCTTTTATTTCTTTTTCTTCTCTGATTGCTGTGGCTAAAACTTCCAAAACTATGTTGAATAATAGTGGTGAGAGTGGGCAACCTTGTCTTGTACCTGATCTTAGTGGAAATGGTTTCTGTTTTTCACCAGTGAGGAGAATGTTGGCTATGGGTTTGTCATATGTGGCCTTTATTATGTTGAGGTAAGTTCCTTCTATGCCTACTTTCTGGAGGGTTTTTTTTTTTTATCATAAATGGGTGTTGAATTTTGTCGAAAGCTTTCTCTGCATCTATTGAGATGATCATATGGTTTTTCTCCTTCAGTTTGTTAATATGGTGTATCACGTTGATGGATTTGCATATATTGAAGAATCCTTGCATTCCTGGGATAAACCCCACTTGATCATGGTGTATGATCGTTTTAATGTGCTGTTGGATTCTATTTGCTAGTATTTTGTTGAGGATTTTTGCATCTGTGTTCATCAGTGATATTGCCCTGTAGTTTTCTTTCTTTGTGACATCTTTGTCTGGTTTTGGTGTCAGCGTGATGGTGGCCTCGTAGAATGAGTTTGGGAGTGTTCCTCCCTCTGCTATATTTTGGAAGAGTTTGAGAAGGATAGGTGTGAGCTCTTCTCTAAATGTTTGATAGAATTCGCCTGTGAAGCCATCTGGTCCTGGGCTTTTGTTTTTGGGATCACTCTTAATGGCAACCTAATCATTTTAACTGCTTGATTCTTAGATGGTTTTTGAATTTTTGCTCTTAAACGACATTGATGAACATCTTTTTTCTTCATTCTCCCCTCAATCTTAAATGTGTCTTTTATACCAAGAATCTGCTTTTATACAGTGAAAAAGCAGCTAGATGGTGATATTGATGCCTGATTCCAGAACTCATGCTTATAGTGAAAAAACTCAGAGTTGTTGAAGTTTAATGTGTTCTTATTCGGTATAGTTTTATGATATCTTTTATTTATGTTCAAAAAATTTTTATGTAAAATTTTTGTCTGGCTAATATGAAAACTAAAGGGCATGAGCTATCATATTTTTCCTACATAGCATTTGTAACATTTCCTTTATGCAGAAATGTTTACTTTTGTTTAATGTATTTTTTTTCTTATATAGAGACTAAAACTCTTATGAGAAATTCCTTTCTAGAAATGTTTGATCAATTGTGACTTCTTCTGTATATATTCTGATGAATTCTAGTGCAATAGTCCATAATACCTCAAGGCCCAACATTCAAATGCTCACCTTGGTTCCAGTCTTGAATTTTCTTTTATTCTAATAATATCTTTCAGTATACACGTGTACATCCACCCACCCCTCTGCTTTCTGTCTTCAGAGAAACCATACCTTTTCATTCCAGATGTGGTGAGGCATCATTTTTAATGAGGTTGCAGATGACAGTATTATCCTTTATGCAGAACCTTCACTGTCAGCAGGACTTACACTTGCTTGTGGTGTTGATGGTTTGTGTATCCCTATTCACTTTCACTTATGTCTGACCTAGTAGCCCAGCAGCATGCTAAGTGAGACACGTTGAAGAACCAGCCTGTGGTCACAGGCAGAGGTTATTCCAGATGCCCTCTTGGCTCCTCGGCAGCTATTTGGTGCACTCCTTGCTAGTGAACTTGTACAGAGAGCATCTGTCGTGTCCACAGTGTATAGCTCCTGAGGTCATTGCTGTTAACCCTGTAATAGGAGCTTGGGTGTGTGCCTTTCAGCAGAGGAAAATTACATAGGGAAGACAGAAAGAGAGCAACTAAACACCTATCACTGGCACCATAGAAGAGAAATTAGAGGCTAGAGCAAAGATGGGGCAAAGGGTTTCAAGGGGCCCTCAGGAGGAGATAGTGAACAGGTGAGAACAGTAGCGGTAGATATTTCTGATAGACTCTAAATGCATTCGCATTACATCCACAAGCGCAGATGATAGGTCATCGAGGGTATTGTGAAACCAAATAGAATTTTGCCAAACCCTCAGCTAGCTGATGTGTCTGAGAGAAAGAAAATATATAATTAATTTGGGCAGTTTGCGGTGATGCTTTGTAGGCAAGAGCCTAGGATTTATGTCGACTTTTAGTAACCGCATGTTTGTTTGTTTTTATTCAGAAAATTTAGAAATACAGGGAATAAAGAAGGCAACTCAGATCTCCCATAATTCCACCACTCAAAGGCACTATGACTAAAATTTTGGAATATCTATTTCGTATTTTTTTTTACAAATTTCAAATCACTAAGTATTTATGTATCAATAGTTTTGAATCTGCTCTTTTCCCATAATATTATGCAGTGAAATTTTCTTTATTTTATCAAAAATATTTTTTCAGTGGCATAGTATTTCTATGCATTTTCTAGCATTTATTAAACATTCACCTACTGTTGAACATTTAAGTTTTTACCTTTTTCGTAATATAAATAATGCTGTTCTGAGTATCCATGGAGCATACCTCTTTGTGTGTGTCTCTAATTATTTCCCTAATTCCATGATGAAGAGGTGGAGACCATTTCTATATACTGCCATGTTATCCTACAGGAAGGTGGTCTTATGTTACACTCCACTAGCAGTGAATAAGAAATCCCATCATTTCAGCACACCTTAGCTAATATCCCATATTTTTTTCAAAAGGGGGCAAAGAGTATGTTTGTTTTGTTTCACAAAAGAGAATTATTTTCGTAAGACAGAAACTAAAAATTCAAGCTAAGTTTTCAGTTTTAAAAATTGAGAGAAAGTCTAAAGACTTTAAGCCCCTAAACAAACTATTAGCTATAGTCCTTTTTTTTAAATCACTCAGAATTGTTTATAAATTAAGTTAGTTTGAATAGCCTCAGCAGTGTTAAACCTCCACATTAGAAAAAGGGATTGTGATAAAATATTGAAAAGTCTTACTTTAATTTAAAAATTAGCTCTCTATTTGTCATATTTTAAACTTCTAACAATGTTTTCCACTTTTGTAGGAGGTATGTGGTATAATTTTAAATAGCTCTCCATGACACACTCATACCTGATTAATTTTTAATTTCTTCTCTTTCCTCCTTGATACTTAAGCTTACTACATCTGTATATTCAGTAAGAGCAAAAGTTCTCTTCTCCAATGATTGACTACTTGAATCATTTCAATTCAGGTTACTAATAGCAGTGCAAAGTTAAACAAAAGCCTTGGCTGAAACTGTGTTAAATTATACAGTGTCGTCTTCATTATTATCTAAATTTCATAGTTAGGAAAATTTGCAGTAAGAAGCTTGCATAAGTCAGACAAATCTCCGAATTATGGAGCTGTCAGGGACCTCAGAAATCATCACATCCAGTCCTTTCATTTGATAGTTGAGGAAATGGAAACTGAGATTGGTGCAGGCACAACTCGGGAACACTCAGTTGAACAGCGACCCTTCTCCATGGGTTCTGGGCTCTGCAGCCAGCTCCCTGCCAGGCCACACTCCTCAGCCCCAGTCATCTGAGAGCTGAAACATTTGGTACTATAGCCTCAATTCGTAGCCTTTGTCTCTCCTAAGAAATATGTGTAAGAATAAAATTCCTACTGCTTCTTTGATTATCCTTTCTAACTCCAACTTCGCTCAATTTGTGGGAAGAACTGACAGTTGACAATCCACATAAATCAATTCCCTTTCAAAAGCCTTAGAACAGGCTCAGTCATTTTGTAACACAGAAGCTGTGTGCTGTCACAGATTCCAAATGAACTAAACTTTGCCTTTAGCAGGCTCGTCACAAGAATAAATACCTATGGAAGAAATATGATTACGTGGAACCACACCATTATTCATGTAAAGTATTCTTTTACTTGTTTTTCTTACCAGATATCTGTATGCCCTTGGACAGAAGGTTTGGAAAAGATGGAAAAAACGTTACTTTGTTCTTGTTCAGGTAAGTAGATTTTTTTCCTGTTACATAATCACTCTAAGCCGTTCTCAATTTTTTTTGTGGGTTGTATCTATCAATATTCACTGTATCAGAAATTAAAACTGAGAAATTTAAAAAATATTTTAATTCATTTAAAAATAAAAGTGGCAAGTCCATTATATGCCAACGCAAATAACCTTTTTATTTAAAGTAACTATTTTTCAGGCCAAACATTTTAGTGATATGAGTGGCATTACTTTATGCTTTTGTACCCCTCTTTAATATTCTGGCTTAATAAAATAGAATGCAGCTGCATTTTCACATCAGCTTCTGCCTTCAATCTGTTGCAATCTCAGGTGAAATTTAGCCTCTGGAAGACTCCGCTACACGCTCTTGAGAGAGTAAGTGTGAAACAGGCAAAGATGTTTGAATATTGTTAGAAAAATGGTTTTGACTTCCCAAGTCCCTGAAAGGATCTTGAAGAGCTCCAGGATCCCAAGAGCATACCTTGAGAGTCACTGCATTGTTCTGATAGTTCATAGATAAAACTTAATACATAGAAACATGCATTTTTATAAAAATGTACCATATATATCACTTATTCACATGTACAGGTCTTTAAATTACCTTGACTGGTAGATTTGTTTGTGATAGGATTCTGAATGTAGACAGGTTATTGAAATGTACCCTTCAGTTGACTGTTTTTTGTTTTGGTTTGGTTTTTGAATCATGGATGACCTTTGCTCATGGAATATACTCATTTAGTTAAAGTTACATTAAAGAATAACTTTGAGTCATAGTCATTCCATTTCATGATAAATCCAAGCTGTTTTGTTCCCAGTGAATATATATGAAAAGAGAAGCTCTCTTGGGATCCTTAACACAAAACAGTCTGTAAAATCTCATCAATTCCTATTCACACATAAGTAGTTTAAATAGCCCAGATCAGATTAACATGGTGAAATTCCAAGGAAAGAAAATTATTTGCTATCTTCCAGAAATAAAGCCATCTATCAACTGCTGGATAAAATTATTTTATTGATGTGCCATAATAGCATGGTAACTTCATGAAAAGTATAACCTTTTCATCAAAAGTGCTTTTTTTCCTCTGGATAAAGTGTGAGTTTTTCTTATGTAAATAGAACCAGTATTTGGTCAACGAGTTTAATAAAAGATTCACACACATGTGCGCACACACACTGACAAACTTTTGATATAAACCCCAAGCATTTGCTTTGAGAAAGGGCTCCCTGTTGGGAGTTCTCAGTAATCTTCCTCCAAAAATCGTACCTATAAGCCATCTTCTTTGGTTTCCAGGTTTAATTTCTTGACATTGGCACAAGAATTGTAATGCATTTACCAGGCAGTTTGAGTGCAGATCTTTCTCCAGTTATAGATGTCTCACCCACATCTAATTTGACAAGTTTGTGTTAGTGACTTGTCTTCGTCAAATCTTTCCAAGCATTCAACTGATTTTTTGTAGGAAGTGCAGCTTCTTTTTCATAGTCATATGTCATTCATTTACATAGACTCTCATAAGTTCCCATCCCATAAGTTCAATACCTGACGTTATTGGCCTAAACAAACCCTACTGACTCTTAGCAAGCATAGAGTTTAACTGGTGGAAATATGTATGAGAGCACATGAGAATGTCACCCAGTAACCACAGGTGTTCAACATGTCATACCTTTTAGTCGATATGGTTTTTTTAGAGCAGTTTAGGTTCACAACAAAATTTAAGGGAAGGTACAGAGATTTCCTGTATATCCTCTGTCCTCAGACATAGCCTCCTCCACTGTCAGCATCACTCACCAGAATGGTACATTTGTTACCAAGGATGAACCTTCGTTGACACATCATCTTCATCAAAAGTCCATAGTTTTTATTAGGGTTCACTTTTGGTGTTGTACCTCTGTGAATTTGGACAAACATGCTGTTCATTATTGTAACATCATACAAAGCATTTTCACTGCCTTGAAAATCCTCTGTGTTCTGCCTATTCATCTTCCCCCCCACCTTTGGCAACCCTTGATCTTTTTACCACAGTTTTGCCGTTTCCAGAAAGTCATAGAGTTGGAATCATGCAATATGTAGCCTTTTCAGATTAGCTTCTTTCAGTTATGAATTTGCATTTAAGATTTTTCCATGTTTTTTCGTAGCTCGAAAGCTCATTTCTTTTCAGCACTAAATAATATTCCATTGTCTGGATGAATCACAGTTTATTTATTCATCTGCTGAAGGACATCTTGGTTGCTTCCAAATTTTGGCAATTATGAACTGAGCTGCTGTACACATTTGTGTGCAGGTTTTTGAATAGACATAACTTTCCAGCTCCTTTGGGTAAATGCCAAGGAATGTGATTGCTGGATCATACTCATTATTTTTTTAAAGAATGAATCAGAGAGTGTTTGTTGTGTAGAGATCCAGTGAAGTGACAGTAGGCTAAAGAGTTTCTTACATACTGACTGTTTTAATATGAAAACTAGGCCTTAGTAGATCAGTTTTGAGAGGTCAAATGGACACCTCATACTTCTGGCCAGGTAAAGTTCAAGGTAATCCTTTGCTCCTTACCTTAGTTTCTGGCATATGATCACAAGAATCAAGTTATAAAACAACCAGATATACTTTATCACCCCATAAGAGAGTTTAGAAATAAAAGAAGGAAGTTGAATACTTTTGAGATCATTAATTGGTATGTCTTTTAGGAACATTAACCATGTCTTTGGAGAGCTAGAAAGTTCTCCACGTAACAAAAATATGTTTAACATTTTAAAGGCAAAATTCAGTTTAAACCAAAGGAGGTAAACCTCTATACCCCGTAATTAAAGTTTAGGAGAAACACCACCAAACTACCATGAATTCAGATTTATTCTACCTGAGGTATCATCTTAAAATTTGAAGTCATATTTAAGCATTGTATCTTTACACAAATATATGTATGTACGTGTACTCACACAAAGAATCCCATGCCCAAGTGTTTTGAGATTTACATGCCAGTAGTCTGGCAACTTTTTGACGTTTTAAATACAATTGAATCTTCCTTTCAATTCCAAATGTAATGGGAAGACAAATTGAATGTACCCACTTCAAAATCAAGATGGGTATGTATGGAGATTGAGCAAGAAGGACTCATTTGGAAGAGCCAGGTAGTTTTATCAGTATTTTTAAAGATAGCTCTCATTCTATTGGCAAATAGTTCGTAGATCTATACCTGCAGGCTGCACTATTAAAAGGTGAAGGAGTCATTTTCGGAGAGGACAGTATGCCCCTGCTGTGTCTGCTGCCGCCATCGTCAGAATGGTGCTCTGGTGATAATGTGAATCTCATCGCCACTTGTGAGTGTGTAGTATATGAGTGATATAGCTGGAGATCTAGCCATCAGCCCAAGAATTTGTACTCATAAAAATTGATTGAGAGTCGGGTTTGGTCAGCTGCAAAGTCATTGTTCAAAGTGAACACTTGCAGAGCTGTTGAGGTGAAGAGACTTTTCAAAGACTCTTGTATAAACATTTAAATCAGAGTTGAAAATGGGAAAATGAATTACTTATCAATGTGGGGTGTTTATTTAGCTTCTAAGTAAGATTAGTTTGGGATCCCATTTAGATTCTGAAGCCAGTATAGTGACAGTATTAAATAGATCTTTCATGTATCTAAGAGGCTGCATTTGTTTTTCATGAAGGTAAATTTTGGTTCAAGCCAAACTGAAAGAACAGTGATTTTGAGGAATATGTTTGAACTCTTACCAAAACTTACATGTGTTTGTATTAAACTTATTTGTGTTTGTTATGCTTATTCAGTGTTTTAGTATTACATTTGGAGGATATCATTGGCGTAAAGTACTTATGACACTAATATGTTTTAGTTCATTATAATAAACCATTCAGTAGCTTTAAAATTCTATACTTATATTTATGATTTAACCAAGCTGAATTATTTCATAATTCTGTATTCAGCTAATGCCTATTCAAAAAACTGTATGCCCCCAGATACTGCATATTCTGTGGTAATATAAAAATTCCTGAATCACTCACCTATTAATACAATTATTGCTATATTTAATCTAATATTTATTATGCAAATGTGGCAGGCATTTATGGGAAGCACTTTTACTACATTATCTCTTTTACTCTTCAGAATAAGGTTTATTTGAGGGTAGGTATTATCCCCACTGTACAGATTAAATTGATGTACAAAGAGGTTATATAATTTGTCCAGAATTATACAGTTAGTAAGTGGTAGCGTCAAGTGATTAATCCAGTTCTGTCAGTCTCTAGAGGCTAAGCTCTTATTTCCTCTGCCATGGTGCCATGATCAAATTAATGCACACAACTACAATTGATCTGAAGACAGATAAACGAATAATCACTGTGGATCATTCATTTCACGAAGTACAAAACAGTGTTACTACATTAAAGAAATGGCCAGTGACTGATGGCATAAAGAGTCCCATGCTCATGAAGGCCACTTACCATATGACATTCCTGGAAAGTGAAGAAGATAGACATCTATGTTGTTTTGGCCCTGTATCAGAGTGTTCACTGCTTGTTGTCGACGTGTCAGAATCATGACTTGAAGTTGCTGCAAACAACAGCAGGCTATCAAGACATAATGTTAATTACATATCAGCTGAGTTGGCACAGGATATAAACAGCCATGCCACTGAGTGATCATTACATGCTGCAAACATACGAGAACCACTCTGTTAGTGACATGCCATCAAAATCTGCTCTAAACTTAAAGAAGTGGCTGCCCCAGCCTATTGATGTCTGAAATATTCAGCACACCTGGAGGAGCACTGCAGCAGGCTACTGTCACAGTTCTGGGAATGCCACTAACTGCAGGAAATTATATGGTCTAGGTTTAGTCTTAGGACATAAGCTGATGTTTGCTTATAGTAATGCAAAGTGAATAAATATGCTGCTGTCAAATCAAGAAAGTCATAGGGTAGTGGCTCTCTGGCTTCATGTTTTAAACTGATTTAAAATTTACAAACCCAAGACATGCTCAGTATAGGATAAAATCAA